CATTATTGACACACTATTTTCCTAATTAATGCTGTACAGTTGCTTTGACACAATCTGTATTGTTAAAAGTGCTATATAAATAAAGGTGACTTGACTTGACTTGACTATTCATTTTGGAAGCGAGGGTTTACAGACCACAATGCAAACAGGAGAAGTCTCATGTTACGGTCGTCACGATCCCAGATGACAACATCCCGGATCAACACTGTTCATGTATCGCAGGGTACGATTAAATTAATTTACATTTAAATATGAAGATACAGTGAAATGTAGACCTTCGTTTATGTGTTTTTGCCCTACACTGTACAAGACGCGAGAACAGTCCGCTATTTAGGTTTGTATGGACTCACTAACTTTAATGTTAGCTAGTTTTAGCCAGACATACCTTGCTAAAGTACAAGATGATAATAATCTTTTTTTAACTTAATGAGAGTATGACAACCAAAAAACCAACGTTTTTGTCTTCATTGGGATTGGGGGTGAATGCTTTGGGACATTTTGCTTCGTTTTGTCAAAGACTATAGAATACCCAAGACGTGTCACTCGTATAGTTTTGAATGGGGAAAAATGCAACGCTCAATATGGCCGCTCAATCGCAGGAAGCCCCACCTTCTGAATGAAGGAGCCAATCGCTAATCAGTAAAGTCAGCGCGTCACTGCAGCTGCCGTTTGCCGTTAGAAGTCCTGGTTGCTATAGAAACAGTCAGCATTCTGAGACATGCGCTCAGGACTGTGCATGTGCACTGGCTGATCTAGCCTGAATAATAAGCTTTTTATAACGCTATTTGAGCAAAATAAACAACATTTATGACACAGTTGATATCAGATTTCTTTGGTGATTTCAAATATGAAATTTAATCGCACGCTTAGTGAACAGTTTTGTAGAATTTGATGTTTCCCCATTCAAAGAGATAGGAGTTGCACTTGCATGGCCAAGACTCGAGGCGTTTCAAAGATGGCCGCCGAGTGACATGACTTGTCTTAAAGGGACTTTGGGACTGGTTCTATCGCGACCTTCGCCAGTAGGACTGCGATCTCCGCACACAAGACAGGAGCATCGGCCACCTTCACTGCCGTGAAGCAGATGCCACTAAACTTGGGGGGACGCCGGGCGAACTGAATCGCATAGCCGAGGCTGATGGTCCGCAGAAGCCAGCGAGACAGGCTGGGTAGCCAGGCACCCAGAAACCGTACAAGCGGGACCAACAGAACCACCGCCGTACCCGCAGTGGGGCAGCGAGGTGGAACGCAGGGACCCAACTCGGGCGGTTTGTGACCGGACCGCAGAGGGGTCTGAGTGTGCGGTGCAACGCTTACCTGGTTCGGCAAAACTAACCAAAATCATTTTTTGAACCAGGCTGTAAACATGTTTTTTTCTGCTGTAAAGTTGGGCAAGTTGGGCATTGGGGCTATGGGATTGACTCCCTTTTGCAGCCAGCCAGTCGATGAATTACAGTTTAAGTAACTTCCGTGTTGGCTTCATGAGAGAGAGCGGGAGGTTGCCGCTTGGTTTTTACAGAAGACCTTAAATAAGCATGCAGTTTTTGGGTGACTGCTGGACAAATTTGGCCCATCCCTATAATAATGGGAGGACTCAGCTTGAGCTCAAAGGTCCCACCAGGAACAGTTAATTTACTGAAGATAATTGAAGTGAAACAGGAGTGGAAGAATCCGGGAAGAGTAAGGTAAGCATCTGCTTTTACAGTATATTATTGTGAGGTGATTGACAGGATTAGCTCCTCCCTGGTATAAAAGGCCCTGCCTCCACATTTCTCTCTCTCGGTGACTCACTCGGTATGTGATGTGACCTGTGATGACCGAATATGGAATGTAACAGATTAAAAAAGAGACATGTCTGCAAGCGAAAATCAAATACATACCAGCGGCGTCTTGCATTTCTTTGAGGAGGCACCAGAGGCGTTTCTGGCTCACTTGGTGCCATAGGCAATATGAGACATAATAACCAAATAGGGAAGAAAACACTTTTAGCTACTTAGTAATTCATTATGTAAGCCTAAAACATGCTAGTGGTAATTTTGTAAATAATGGTAAATAATGTAGTGCACCTGGGTTACATACATGTCTACTGTATGTGTAGTGAATATATGTGGTTTTTATGTCATTTTTGTAGACCAACCCACAAGTTAGCATGACACTGGTTCCTACTACAAAAAGCCAGTAGTATTGTATCATTAACTTTTTGAAAAAAAAAAAAGCTTTATGACCAACAAAACTTTGAATATTACACATTTTGTTAATCTACACACATAAAAAATAAATTAAAACCTATAATTTTTGAAACCAGTCGCCAAAAGTAAAAGGAAAAAGCAAAAAGCAAAAGCCAATAAAAAAAAACTACACCACATTCACATGACTTCAGTGTCACCTAACTAAGCTGCCGACAACTCTCTCAATCTTTATTTAAATCTACAAGTTGAAAAGTTACAAGAGTATGAGTATAACACTCTATAGAGTGTTTTATATATAAAGGATCTGCAGAAGATGTGACTTGATTGGACTGACCATGTTTAGACAAAGGAATGTGTTCCTGTTCCAGCATTGTAGACAAGCAGTGTTTTAAGCTGAAATAATCATGCAAAATACTTATCAAAATTAGTTTTTCTTTTCTGCAAATTGCGCTCAAAAATCTATTATTAGGGGGTTTGACGAGACTGACAGACACCAAAGGAAGTGATGTCACAAAGTTCACTTTTAGAAACATTCAGCCTGACTCCCCTGACTTTGTTTTTGTCTTTGTCATTTGACATTTGATGTAATTGATCTATAATTGTTTAGTAATGTCTGTACAGGGCCTAATAAAACAATGACAGGCTGCATGATTTAGAAAGATTACTGTAATTATACAGCTAACGGTGGGAATGATTTTGAAAACACACAATTATGGTTTAGACAATTGATCATTATGAAAAATACAATTAGCCGTTATTGAAAGGAGAAAAGAATGGAAAATCCCCCAAAATGAAGCAGATATATGCTACTCCAATAATTGGATGATTGTTGTGCAATATTTAATACATTATGCAAACTCACTCTCAGAGTGGCTCTCTTTTTCTCCATGCTTCCTTCTCTATTTCCATTTGCACATTTATTTACAAGGGTGGCGAGGTCGTTCATTTACCTGGCAGTTTCAGTGGATCGCTGTCTTTCTGATACACGTAAACATGACAGGAAACTTAGACTGTGTGTGTCTGTGTGTGTGTGCCGTCCTCAGAGGAGATGACAGCGATTTTGTTTTGAGCACTTAGCAGGTTTATTTTGCTGGGTGGAGAATAATGCAAATATTAAATATTAAACATAATAAATATAAAATTTATTTTCCAGAAGACTTGTTGTGTCGTACATGGATGATCCAGAGCTGGTGAAGGCAGCTAGAGACTGGAGAGGCTAATGCTGTTGTCACTGTTTAAGAAGACATTTTTCTATCTTTGCAAGCAACTTATAGTCTAGTAGATGTTTTACCAAGCCTAATTCGTTTTGACATGCCCTTCAAAACGTGAAATACACTTTAAATATTTTAACAGTATTTATGGACCTAGATTCAAAGCATCCATTTTGCTTTTGGAATAAGCAAGATGTCAGCAAGTCAGAACTCAAATGGAAAGCTGTACGAGGCAAAGACTTTGAATGACACTCGACTCAAGGTCAGATCTCTCGGCCTTAATTTGTCAGAGTGGAGTCATCGCCCTCTCATATACCATACACACACACACACACACACGCGCACATGCACACACACACACACACACACACACACGCACACACGCACGCTCAGAGCAGGGCAGTCTTAATATAGCTTGATTAGCTTGGTCTCCATTCCCCCTTTTCAAAACTCTTTCATTAATGCATTTCACAGGTGGCCTTGAATAAAAGCGAGGGTTTCTAAAATCTTTCCCCTGGGGAATGAGAGAGCATGTAGGCAGAAGGAACGCTCTGGTAAAGTTTTACAACAGGACTGAAGGTAGGCCACAGGGTGGTGTTCTGCATGTTTCTTTTGTTAAAGGTAAAAAAAATTGATATTCAAAAATACCTCATTCTTCTCTTCAGCCTCAAATGCTCTGGCTTCAGGGTTCGGTTGTCATATAAAGTTGTAGGATTAAAGTTATGATGATGGAGACACTGATGTATTCTGAAGGAGAGTAGAGGGTGATGATTTAGCACCTTAATTTATACTGTGACAAAATATGAATGTCAAAAGCAACTGTGTTTTAATACATTTTTTTTTAGATATTTCAAACATTCTGTAGACTCTACCATTCTTTTAGATATTAGACTTATTATTTTAGATATTGGCTCCTTATATACACTATATTAGGATATTTATATCAAGATTCTTTAAAGACATGATTTTTGTATTTAAAAAATGTATTTTAAAATCTTCCATTAGTTTTTTCCCCACTATGTTCTTTTTAAAATGAATTTTAGAGAAATATTTTTTGCATCAATTCGGTGTCTGTATTGCTAAGCAGAACAATTAACCTTAGACTTCAAACTTCAAATAAATTAAGTCAGAGTGAAATTGCATATCCACAGATGCATGTCCTCACTTGATTTCTTCCTGTTAGTTCAAAGTCAAGCAAAGGACTTCAATAGGAAAATTCATCCACTCTCTTCTGTAGGACTTTTGATATGTCCTTTTAAATGATCACTATTTCTCCTTTCCTCCTTCTTACATTAATTCAATAAAAATCCCCAGTGGTAAAACTGTGTCTGTATGATGTTCATCTATTCTGGCTGATGTGCAGAATGTTAACAAGCAATATAAGAGCTCGGAGAGGTTGCAGTACATTCGTTATACCAAACAGACATTCAGATTATAGTATTCAGACAAAAAGAAGCATCATCAAAAAGTGTACTACTGCCCGTCAGATTTTCAGTCCCTTACTATGAAATGTGGAGAAAAAAATAAACTGTTCCAACACAAAAACTTTTACTTTTAAACCTTGTTGGCAATATCTGTAGCCTTTGCTTGATCACTAAAAATATTAATTTTACTGGTCCCTCATTTTGTAAAACAACGGAAAATGTTTATAATAAATGCTCTTATATTGAAAGCATGCATGCTACATATAGGCAGAGATGTGAAACTTGCATTTTTGTTAAAGCACTTTCATTAATTTTGCAGTTTATTTCAGATGAATTTTAGTTATGTAACTCCTTTGGGTAGTACTTTAGGAATAGTTATGTCCTAACATGTCCTTTCCTGGTATCTTCTTGGAGAGACGAAGCAGTCAATCAGATTTATTTTTTAGAGTAATTGAAAGATTGAACGCTTCCCAATTGACATGGTATCTAAATTTATTATATAAAAATTCACCCCCCTCACAGTTGTCATGAAGGGCAAAACTAACAATATAGACCAAAATCATTTTTTGAACCAGGCTGTAAACATGTTTTTTTCTGCTGTAAAGTTGGGCATTTTAACATGGGGAGTCTATGGGATTGACTCCCTTTTGGAGCCAGCCTCTAGCGGCCAGTCGATGAATTACAGCTTAAGTCACTTCCTTGTTGGCTTCACGAGAGAGAGCGGGAGGTTGCCGCTTGGCTGAAACCTAAAGATGTCAGAGTTCCGCTCCCTGTGCAACTGATACTCGACTGCCATTGGCTCATTTGCATTCGAGGGGAGGGGCTTACCGATAGGTCAATTGCAAGAAAAAAGTCAGAATAGTGAGTTTATATCTCACAGTTCTGACTTTATAACTGGCAATTGTGAGAAAAAAAAGTCAGAATTGTGAGATGTAAAATTGCAAATTGCGAGAAAAAAAAAGTCAGAATTGTGAGATAAAAAGTTGCAAGTACTTTTTTTTTATTCATTGGCGGAAACGGGCTTCCATACAACACTGACTGTAACATATAATTCCAATAAAATAAGATAAAAATAAATAAAAAATATTGTGCATCTGTATAGTGTGATTGATTTTAAAATTATGTTAAAATACCAATGCTAAAACCAAACATATGCCCTTGACCACTAATATGGACAAACTGGCAGATGTCTAAAGACCAACAACAGAGCTGTCCTAAATTAAAGAGCTTGCCAAACAACTAATTAACCTCTCAGATGGAGTATGACAAAGGAAGGCAGAATCTTTCCGCCAATTAGCGGAAAGAAGCTAATAACGGATCCTCTTAAATCAGATATTAGCCAGAGAAAGCATCTGGCCTTGTTCTACCTACCTTACACACATAGTAGAAAGGAAACCAGTGAAGAAAAATGTCAGAGAAGAATTCACCCACGCTGAAGAAGCCGTAGATTACCCAGTATGTCAGCCATTGTGTGTCATCCTCCTTATCAGGACTTTCTATTGCTTTGATACTAAAAATGTAAACAGAACAAAATCTGAATACCCAAGTTAAGAAGTTACTGCAACCAAAAAAAAAAACACTATAATAAAGATTTATTGTAGGTTACGATAACTGATGATTTGTAAAAAAAATAAATTAAAAATTAAAAATTAAAAGCACATAACTCACGAGTAATATGCAGGATAAACAAAACCAATCAGATTACAGAGCAGAGAAGCACCGTATCCAAATAATAAATATGCTCCGGTCACACCAGCAGCACCTGTTGGAAGAAAATCATAAAATGTCCTTGTGTAAACAGCAAAATCACATGTGAACTAACTGTAAATAACTAGCTATCATGGGTAACTGTTTTTGGATGAATGTAATCTTTAGCACTATTTTTCAATGTAGAGTTAGATGTTGAGGGATGAAGGCGAAGTCACGGGTTGGTTACGTCAGACAAAATCTCCCTTTGAGAAACTTCATTATTCAGAAATTGATTCATAGATTTCAGCTATTTTTCTGTACTTTTCATGAAGGGAAATTAATTTCTCTTTATTCATGATGTTATGGTATTTGTCATTTATTTCACATGCCAATAATAGGCTTCTGTGTAAGCAGCTTCGACTGACTCCCCTTACCAAAAAGTAGTATACTTCAAGTTTATTTTAGTAAGTATACTTAAGTAAAGTTCAAGTATATTTTTAAGTAAACTTTATGTAGTAAGTATACAAATATCAGAATACTAGTAGTATACTTGTAAGTGTACTATTTCAATACTCCTTGGGACTAAATTGGCCCACTTTCTAGTATATAAAAGTATACTTTTAAGTATACTTTAAGTGTAACAGTAGTAAACTTTGAGTACACAACTAGTTTACATCAAAATGTTTAGTTTGTACTGCAACTAACTTTCCTATTTTTAGTTTAAAAGAAGTATAGGCCTACTAATAGCACACTTGAATAAACTTCTTTTTCGTAAGGGTTGAGCACCTGTCACATCACAATTTAGGATAACCTAGACTACGGGTACTTTTTATTAAATATACAGAACATGAAACGGGCTTTATATAAAATCAGGACTTACCGAGCGCTAAATAACGTTTCTTGATGCCTGTTTTTTCTTCGATTTTATTGAGACAGTCAGTGACTATATTCTTCTCGTTCAAAAAAGCCTCGACGCGGTCTTTTATCTTTGCAAATATGGTAAACATCGCGGCTTAAAAGGAAAGTGTAACGTTATGCAGTTAAACACAGGTGTATGGCTGATAACGTGTCTCTGGGCTGTTTTCGCTGACTGGACACAGATTCAATCCGCTTACTGTCAGACTAGTGACGCGTCTGTGGGAGGATTTCAGGGCTCCAGACTGACAGCTAACACCAATTACACTTCATTCAAGGCGTCAAACTAGTGCAAAAGATGAGGAATCTTAAATTACATTTTAAATTTAACTTAAATGCATTTGGTTACTTTAGCTTACGGCTATCGCCCTATTGGCTTAGGCTACACCTGATTATGTAATCAATATCAATAAATTTCAGTAGCATACTAAACAGTTGTAACCACTAGGGGACTCTGCTCACCTGAGATTACGTCAGTTTTGTTATTTCTGCAGCACAGGAATCTGAACTGTGCCAAATAAATGTTCGTTTAATAATAAAGTAAAAGAAATTTATTTTTCAAATCATTCATCACTATTAGCCTAAGTAGCAGTGTTTCTCAACCAGGGGTCCGTGGACCCCTAGTGGTCCTTGACGTAAGGCCAGGGGGTCCGTATAAAGTATGAATGTTTTTATTAATTTTTTATATTTTGACGACATGTTCCCATGAAAGAAAAATCCAATATAGCTAATGATATGGCCAAATACTGGACAAGTCAACTAACTTGACTAATACTTGACTGCATTTGGTCCTCACAAAGACACAAATGATACATAGATGAGTCAATTTTGTTCTGGGGGGTCCTTGAGGATGGTTCTGAATTGGACTGGGGTCCGGTACGCCAAAAGGCTGAGATTCACTAAGCCAACTTAACCATAATATTTCTCCACTCTGCTCTTTCTGCCAAGAGGAAGAAGAATCTATTTCACGTTTATTCTATTTCTGTTAAACAATTTTGGCTTCAAATATCAGCTTCCCTACTTCTTGTGTTCCACCAGCTCAGCTATTTCTATCTGTAAGGTTATTTTCCATTCTCATGTTTCGGACAATAAGGAGTTAGATGATGTCTTAAACTTTATATGTATGATGGATGGGTAAATACCATATCCACCAAGATAGATACCTTAAATTTAAACCCAGTTGCAAAATATTAGCTTCTGATTTACAATTATTATTGTCATCACTTCAAAAAGTCTCCTGCAATTAAAAAAAAGCTATGACGACATCTCGTACGGTCTCTCTCTTTCTCTCTTTCCTTTGTTTCCACCAGGGGCGGATTTAGTGATTTCGGGGCCCCAGGCAAAATACAGGAATGGGGCCCTATACAATTTCACACATTTACAACCTTGAGGTTCCTTTCACTGTTGCTCGCTGCTGCACGACCGTGTCCCATAGTTGTGTCTAATCTTTTAGATTTTTCATGTACATGTTATAAATAAAGGATTTCTTTAATGTTGTATATCCCTTGTTCACATTTAAACAGGTTATAATAGTATTAGAGTAGGTTGGACACTAGGTGGTGCGTTGGGGTAATTTTCAC